GCAAACGGCGAGTACGGCTAGCGCACTTAGCTGAAGACGATCAGGTGGACTAACGGATAGACACTGATAAGTCCAGCAGTGGTAGAAAACCATTGGTTTCACATAGAAAGTTAGTTGAAGTTCAGGCGCATAGGAGGTTTCTTTCAATGAGTGAGACAGAAAGTTTCTGAGTATTTCTGCTTCTGAGTCTCCATTGAATTGCAGATTCAGGTAAGGAAGTCTTTGAAGAGCAGGGAGTGTGAACTGTTTAACTGGTGTTTAAGCTTCATGAATTTTACAATGAAACTTTTAGCGTAGCTATTATCTATATGTTTTTAACCTTACTGTCGTTTGCTCTTAATTGAATTCGACTCACTTCTGCCAATTGTATTACGTACTTCATTTAGTTGACTTATTCAACTGTATTTTAGTTTCCACCTGATTCACGCTATCATATTACCTAATTTCTTTGGCTAAGGAATGATTTTTATTTTTTTAATTTTGATTACAGCTTAATTCCACACCGTATTTTTTGGTACAGGTATTGAATTTCTAGCATGTGATATCGGTTGCCCAAATTTTGCAGGCCGACCATAGATATCAGGTGTGCGTCGGCAGGAGATCGAACCCCGGACCATGTGCATGGTCAGCGAGAGTCCTAACCACTGTGCTACCGACGCACTGAAGAGAATAATACTTCGCTGAATATGTTCCATTTGAACTACAGTCGATCATTCAGTCTCAGGGATGCAATCCGCTGAAAGTTTTTCTTATTTTCATAAAGGGTTTTTGTATTTCCAATTGAATGAAACACAAAACGATATTGTTTTTACTAAAAGGATACTCAGAATGTTGTAAAAGGTTCATATGATTACAAATCCCAAATAGAACACCCAGATATTGATAAAGAAGATATAATGATAAGCTATTGCCGAAAATCTTGATATCATTTCCAGTCTACTAGAATCAGATACAATTCTGTCACAAAGATGTCCACTGGACACCAGTGAAATAATTAAGAGCTTTAAATTCTGTCTAGAAAGTAATTATTTTACATTTAAAGGGAATTTCTATAGACAGAAAAATGGTGTGGCTATGGGTTCACGAGTTTCCCGGATAGTCGCCGACCTTTACATGAATAGATTCGAAGGTGACATCTTTTCAAGCATATTCACTCTCAATATATGGTTAAGATATGTAGATGATGCTCTTGTAGTGCTAAAACGAGATCTACACAGTTCATTCCTGGAGAAAATATCTCCCAGAATCCAGTTTACTTCGGAAGCAGAATCAGACTTTGGTGAACTACCATTTCTAGACTGCCTAGTTAAAAGGAGGAAAAGCGGACATTTTAGTATATCCATATTCCAGAAGAAAACACACTCCAACTACAAATATTTAGACTTCACATCATCACACCCCATCAGCGCAAAGGTATCAGTTGTTTCAGGTCTTCTTAGACTAGCACACTTTTTGATGTTAACGGATGAGAATGAAAAAGAAGAAGAAATACCAAACATTCCTAAAACTCTCAAGCAAAACAACCACCCAAGGAACTTCATCAACAAAATCAATACTGACATTAAGTATGGTCGAAAACGTATTTCGAAAATATGGACATCAACAGCCGTCATTCCATATAGAGCAGAGACGTCAGATGATACCAGAAGAGTACTCAGTCAGCTCAACATTAGAGTTTTCTTCAAAACATATGACATACTACGAAACAACCTTGTCCATATAAAAGACCAGATCCCTAAAGATTCTCTATCTCATTGTGTCTATAAAATAAAATGCTTGGAATGTGATGAGATATACACCGGTCAAACATCGTCAGACAGGAATCAAAATCAGAAGAAATGAACACTGTAGAGCATCTGTTCGACCACCGAGAAATCCGGTTGAACTAGAAAAACTTGAAAAATCGTCAGCCATTGGTCTACACGCTATAGAATCAGGTCACAAAATTGATTTTGACATTATTGAAATTATCATCCAGAAAAATTTCAGAAATCACAAAGAAGGTCTAGCATCATCAGAAGCACTTCATATCAAACTGAATCCAAATCGTCTGAACTGAATGTGAATGGTGGACTAAAACAGAATTTAACCTGGTTACAACACCCCTCCTCCCTCATGAAATGACAAAATCAACACGAGTGTGATAAGCAAGTTCACTGTGTAAACACACGTTGCTTTTACAATTTTACACACTTATCAAATCCAACAATCCTCACCTGGCCAATTTGATAACGCAGAAATGACCCCATGCTGATGAACGATGATGATCAAGATTTTATATATAAGCTGAGTGGATTTTGTAAATTCTGGTTTAATACTACTACTTTGACGAAGCTATTAGCAGCACCATTAAATAGCGAAACGTCAGTAAAAGCAACAGTGTCGTTTTGTTTTTCATTCACATTGGGGAAATGCAAAAAACACCCTTTATTATAATGAATATCATATACCTAATGCCCAAATTTTTTGAAACTGTTAAAAGTGAACCTGGTTTCAACATATATAAAGTATTTCTCAACTTCATTGCTAGAAACGAACTCTTTCAATATTAACCGAAGTTGCTTTGAAGTAACTGTTTTCGACTTACGTACACCTCAATGAGATTTCGGAATCATAAATGGGGCTATTTTAGTGTATCATAGCCGAGGTTCCAAAGACAGTCACCTGTAATCATAAAGAGCTGAATTTACTTTGGATTAACGAAGCGGGACCTTGAACATGGTTGCCATTTTATTGCCTCCCACCTTGTTCTCGTCCTACATTCTCTCACTCTGTCACTGTGAGCATACTTGAATGTTTGCGTGTTTGTGGTGGTGATGGTGTGTGTGTGTTCTACTTTCTACAGCTAGGAAATATGTCGGTGACCATTTTACGCAATAAATGTTGGAGAAAATCACTCATGAGCGATCTAATCACAATACTGATCCTTATTTGAATGTTTCAACTAGCTTATTAATTATTTTGCCTCTTTCTTTTACATTGATCCTTGCTATTTTTCTGTGTTCCTGTTTATTCTCTAATTTTATTCCTTCTCTTTGTGGTTGTATGACGACTGTGACTTTGTTTGGTTAAATGAAGATCATAAGGAATAATAAAAACGACAGTTGTAGTGAAGAAAGTTTTCTTTTCAACGAAGTCAGCATTAAACTAGGTTGTACATTCATGCATATTTATCACAGTAAATGGGTGGGAAAGTTCCAGAATAATTTCCAGTCAAGGGGCAAATTAGCAAAATTACAATTAGGAATTAAAATGCAATAATAAACAAGAGGGAGGGACGGATAAAACTCAAACAAAGTAGCATCATAATTACTGAGAAGATTGACACTGATTGTGCAAATGGGAGTTAGAAATGTAGAAATAACAACAATGGACAGGATGTTTGGATAAGAAAATCTAGTGGGATCATAACTAATGTGAGGAATAATTGTTTATGCAATTAGGGATTAAATATGTAGAAATAATAAAATGACAAAAAAATGGGCAGGAAGTTTGGATATGAAAAAATGGAAGTGTAAATATTGGAGCGATTAAGAAAAACTTAAAAATTGCATGAATGAACAGGAAGTTTGGATGAGAAAGGCAATGGGATAGTCACTATTAAAAGAATTACCTTTTTATGACGGCCATGGTAGAGACATGGTTTGGGCGTATTTCTTTTGAATACAAAGCATGGGTTTGAGCTTTTGGATCAAACCTGTCAAAGTGAGTGGAATTAAGACATCTGCTCATAGCCGACACACTAACCATTCAAAAGCTCAAACCTACACTATGTATCCAAAAAGAATACGTCCAACCCTTGACCTTGCCATGGCCACCATAAACTAGCCCATTTCCTTTCTCATCCAAACTTCCTGTTCATTCATGCAATTTTTTAGTTTTCCCTAATCCCTATTTACACTTCCATTTTTTCATATCCGAACATCCTGCCCACTTTTTGTCATTTTATTATTTCTACATATTTGATCCCCAATTGCACAAACAATTATTCGTCACATTAGTTATGATCCCACTAGATTTTGTTATCCAAACATCCTGTCAATTGTTGCTATTTCTACATTTCTAACCCCCATTTGCACAATCAGTGTCAATCTTCTCAGTAATTATGATGCTAATTTGTTTGAGTTTTATCCGCCACATCCCCCTGTTTATTATTGCATTTTAATTCCGAATTGTAATTTTATTAATCTGATCCTTAACCAGAGATTATTCTGGAACTTTCCCATCCATTTACTGTGATAAATACACATGAATGTACAGCCCAGTTTAATGCTGACTTCGTCGAAAAGAAAACTTTCTTCTTTGCAGCTGTCATTTTATTATTCCTTATGACCAAATGTGTATATTTCGTAAATCAAGGTCATTTTGACAATGGAGTGCCTTCGGGACCTGTTGATGTGGGGTTCTCGGGGATGGAGTTTTTGATGTCACCTTGATTCTAAGTACTCGTTTTGTATTCGAAGTGGACTCTATCGCTGCTTAACGTCACTGTTGAGGTATTAGTGAGTTATTGATGTTAATATTTCTGATCAGAACACCTAGATCTATCAAAGAACAACCGTCTTTTTTCTGTGTTGGGAGTGTTTTGTAAATATTTTTGAATGGCATGGAGGATTTCATCATGATCTGACATCAGTTAGAGAACCACTGGAGAAGCTGGGAGTACTGGACAGCTGTTTCATCCTAGTTTGGGACTCTCCAGCAGTACGCACCCACTGGGATTTGAACCCAGGACCTTCTGGTTACAAGGCGAGCTCATAGACCATTGAGCCACTGGGACCCAATCCAATGTTCTTGAATTGAGGAAGTTTTGTTCAGCTATACAATAAGAAGTAGAGATCGCTTTCCTGCATTCAAAACCAAGACCAGTCGGTTGTGGTCGCCATAATTTTAGTTATTATTCTCTCAAGGTTACCTTTCAACTACTCACCGACATTGTATTATTAAGACATTTTAATGCAAAAACTAAGCATTTTATATTGAAAAATCAATAATCTTACCTTCCTTGCAGTTAACACCCTTGAAATCCGGTGTACAGACACAGTAACTTTCACCATTCCCATCATCCAGACGACATGTCCCATTATTTAAACATGGCGGATTACATTGACCAATTGGATTATAATTCACAGGGAACACTGATGAAGATGAAGACGTGTGACTTCCTTGTTCAGTTGAATCCGTCAATGGATTCACATACGATGTACTCGCACTTGAAGGCGTTAAATCAGCTCGTATGTTGTGTGCATAGAAAGATGATAAAATCAATAAAATATTGATCACTTTGTACATTTGACTGATGGCTATTATCCTCTTAAATACATCAATATATAAATATTACAAGTTCAGTTGTAATAATAGTAATGATTATGAGTTGTTTGGGTGTTTTGTTTGATTATGGCGCTAATTCCACTTGAATTATTGTACATTGAACAACGCAACACTTGAATTCAGCGGTTGTTCTGAATAAAATCGATACGAAACAGATATCTGTGTAATTTGAAGTTAAGAAATTAGGTGAGAATATATGCAAATGTTATTTATAAAGACATTTAAATTATTTCTAATTACAAACTATATTATACTACTATTATTATTACTATTATCATTACTAGACATTATACTGTGTTTAGCTCACTATTGGTGAGTTAGAAATCAATAATTTAAACACATTAATGTGATTAATATAATGAGTAGAAAATAATTGAGTATGGAAAAATGTATGCTTTTGTTATTTCTGAGTAGGTGAAAGGTGCTTCTATTGCACACACTTACACACACGGATAAACAAACAAATGAAGAAGATACACTTTATTGACAATACATTCACCCTCATAAATAAACAAACAAACTGGTGTTCTAATTTCATGCTCATTCTATTTAAATCCATTTTTACTGACACTAGAATTAGCATCTTGAGTTTGTATGTGTGTGTGTGTCCGTGGTGATGGATACTACGTTGAGAACGACCTTAAACGCAGCTAAGTTATGCTGTACATTCATTAACCAATCAATAAACTCAGTTTATGGAAGGGAATAAAGACAAACTGCCAAGTTTAATTCAATTTTAGATTTTCCCGTCGATTGAATGGAGCATTGTCTCAACTACAGGAGGAACGGATGGACGAGGATGTCAAATCGAGAATCGGGAAGGTGAGAAACACATTCATCAACCTGAAACCAATCTGGAAATCTTCGTCACTCCTCAGCAACACTCAACAACAAAATTCGGATTTTCAATACAAACGTCAAGTCAGTGAGTTCTTCTATACGTACGGATCAGAAACTTGGCGGGTCACCAACGAGAATATTTCCAACAGCCTGTTGTAGACCTATATCAACAACTGTCTTCGCTCTATACCCAAGATCAGATGGCCGTCGGAAAGAATCACCAACAAGAAACTATGGGAAGAAACAAAACAAGAACTAATCGCCCAACAAATATTCAGGAGAAAGTGGAGATGGATTGGACACTCTCCGAGGAAGCCATTGGGTGACATCGCGAGTCAGGCCAGTGCTCGAGTGGAACCCGAGTGAGAAGCGGCGAGTGTGACGTCTAAGGGTGACATGGAGGAGATCGTGTGAAGAGGAGTTGAGACAGTATGGACTAACATGGATGCAGGTGAAAAGTACAGCAGAAGACAGAAGCAAGAAGTGGAGGCGTGCATTTGAAGCCCTATGCTCCACCAGGAACCTATGGGAACAACAATAATAATAAATAATAATTGATTGGACCGAAGTGCTCGGTCTCAGGTCTACATGTCGGCTTCTTGCGCAGATTCTTTGACAATGTCTAGGCATGCAATTAGAAGTTGATTGGTGGATGGTGACTAGCAGTGGACGAAATCCAGGAAGCGCATTTAGTCCCACATCGGGACTCTTCATCTGGTTGTACCTGCATTCCGCAGTGAGTGATGATATGCCCACAGTTTCAGAAGCCAAAGTGTTTTGTACTAGACTACTTGGGCCATGAGAGCATCCATTGGAACATCATCATTCACTGGGGGATGCAGGTACATCCAGATGACGAGTCCCAAGTAGGACAAAATGCGCATCCTGGCTGTAATCCACGGATAGTCACCATCCACGAGTCAACTTCCAAACTGCCAAGTTGTTTCACCTTTTCCATATATGTTTTTACCAGCCGAACTGTTCTCCCGGAGGTGGGTGGTGGGTGGAAGCTGATTCCCTTGGGCGTAAGGTTTTCAAAATGGACCTCTGAACAACCTTATCAGTAAGTTCTCATTTTATTGCCGATATATGGATGACACCTTTATTCCTTGTGATAATGGTTCCGATAGGAGTACAATAACTACTGAATTCAATGAAGTATATTCGGCTATGAAATTCACATGCGAAGAGGAATCCCAAGACAGAATTGCCTCCCTGGATGTCCTACTTACAACAAAGCCAGACGATACCATAAAAAGAAATTTGCGTAGAAAAAGCACTTGGACAGGACAATATATACATTTTCAAAGCTTCGTTCCTATCAAATACAAAAGAAATTTAGTAAAGACCCCTAGTCACAGAGTTAGAGCTATATGCCCAGAGAAAGTAATTGAAGATGAATTAAGCATTGTATATGATACTTTAATCGAAAATGACTATCCCGACAAGTTTATCAAGAAACACATGACAAAGAAAGCGGAAAAGGACTACTCACTGTCTGTAAACAAGAAGCCTTTCTATATACGACTACAATTCACGGGCGGTATACCAAGCGAGATAATTACGAGGAAATTAAGAAATTCAATTCAAAGAACTTTTAATGCTGGCGAACTACACGTATTATTCTCTACACGACCGATGGTGCTACCTCGACTGAAAGATGAAGTACCTAGACTAACCACTTCAAATTGTATCTATCAATTCAACTGCGCCTGTGGAGCGCCGCTGCTCTAGGAACTTGATTTTTCGTGCTAGAGAATATATACCACTATGGTTAAGTAAAAGTGTAGTTAAAACTATTAACAGCTCGATATTAGACCATCTGATGCAAAGTGGTCATAAAGCCAGAGTAGAAGAGTCCTTCTCTATAATATACTCGGTGCCTAACAAACTACCAAAATCATCGAAGCACCGCATGCTTCAAACACTAGAGGTTATTGGAATTCGCCTCAAACAACCAGTGCTCTGTGTTCAAAAGAAACAAGTCCATCCCCTACTACTGCCCTGGCCCTCATAGAAAGTATAAACTCATGAATTTGTACTATTATCTTTCCTAATTTTTCTGACATTCAGCTTATTTTATGTTGATGCTGTTCAGCTGTAATTTATCAATATTATTGATTCGATGTTATTTAAACACTAATGTCGTTCACAAGACTAATTCATTCATTATAATGTATATGTAATTGTAGAGCCTGATGATGAATTTATCGAAAAGAGTTCTCTTTGTTCCGTATCCATTCTTTATTCAAGTTCATTGTCTTATTTCTCAACATCACTCCGCAGCTTGTTTAGCAAATGTTTGAATAAAGCTGCTATACACAGTTCAATACATTAACTCATCTCATGAATATTGGACATCGGGTTGACTGTAACAAAGCCTTCAGAGTAATTTTTGTATTATACCCAGCCCTTTATCTCCTGCCTCACGAGAGCGACTTAAACATACAACAAATTCAATTGGAATATTCATCTGAACAAGCCAAACCTGAGTGTGTCCAAAAGAAATTTTTGCAGACCGTTTTTTCTTTGCCATGGCCAACTATATAACATGTATTAAGTTTTAAAAAAAGATTTTTTCCCCTCCCTTTTCACTTATGTTTTGACTTTGTTAATTTTTTAGAATTCTAGTTAATTCAAATGACTTGTTTGTATTTTAAGTCATTCTACTGAGTCATCCTATTCTTCTTAGTCATCAGAGCTATTTTATAGATTTCATGACTGTTTAATAACGTGTGGGCTAACCTCTATGAATTAACTCATCTTGAAATCCATAATAAGTCATTTTCACAATTCAACCCCTCTTCAAAACTTAGATATCTTATTGCTAACATCTACCAGTTCAGTTTATTCCCCTAAATGAATTTAAATAAAGCAAGAACAACGTTGGTTTTTGCAGAATAATAAAATGCTACCACATGATTGTTTATTTCGTTCGTTGGCTTTTCATCGGATCAACTGTGCACAGCTCAAAGTCATTATTAAGTATATCTACGGAAACAATTTTACCATACTTGCACAGAGTTCATTTTTAAACAAAAAATCAATCAATATATGCATACAATACTAATAATACTAATAAACATTTTATCGCAAACAATAATAATCATACACAATTGAGTCTATCAGCGTTATGTAGTCAGATGAAAAAGAGTATAGCCAATCCATCTCCGTTTCTTCCTGCCTATTTGTTTCACAATCGGTTCCTGCTGCGTTGTTTCGCTCATTGCCAGAGATCTCTGTTGCTGATCTTTTCTGGCTGGCCATCTGATCTTGAGTGGTATTGAGCGAAGACAACTGGTAATGCAGGTCTGTAGTTTGTTTGAGATGCTCTTTATGACGCGCCAAAACTCTGATCCGTATAGCAGCATTGACTTCACATTGGAGTTGAAAATCCGGATCTTATTTTTGATGCTGAGTGTTGTTGACCTCCACACAGGCTTGAGAGTAGTGAAATCTTGTCTTGCTTTTCTGATTCTTCCTTTGATATCCTCATCAGTTCCGCCTGTAGTTGAATCGATGTTTCCCAGGTAGGTCAAGGAGACCTCGCAAAACTCTACCAAACAACTAGGTACCTATCGGGCAAAAGTTCGACACAAATTAAGCCGGTGAAGGATGACAGTGAAAAGTCACTCACCAAAGAAGTGCCGCAAAGGAAACACTGGGCTGAACACTTCCAAAGACTCTCAAGTTGGCCACCATCTACAACGCACCCAACAATACCAACCACGGAAGCAGAACTACGAGTGAACATCAACCCACAGACGAAATCAGAAGTCCTGAAGGCAATCAAGTTGCTAAAAGCTGTAAAAGCAGCAGGACCAGATGGATTCCCAGCAGAAGTATTGAAAATAGACCCAGAGACAACAGCTAACTTGATGACGCCACTACTGGAGAAGGTGTGGCCAGAAGACAAAGTACCCGAGGATTGGAAGAAAGGATACTTATTCAAACTGCGAAAGAAAGGAGACTTAAGTCAATGGAAGAAGTGGTGCGGAATTATGCTCCTGTCCATTCCAAGTAAAATACTAAGCCGGTGTGATTATTACTGTTTACGATAAAGTGTTTATCAGTATTATTAGCATTGTATGCATATATTGATTGATTTTTTGTTTAAAAAT